CATTTTGGGGTGGTGGGGGGTCCCTGGGGGCTCTGTGCTCCGTTTCAGGGCATGGGGAATGCAAATGGTTGAAGCTGGGGGGGGGGAGGGGTGGAAGTGTAGGGGACGCGCTCTGAATTTGGGGTCTCTCGGGGGGGGTCCTGCAGTCCTCAAATCCCTGTGTTCCCTGGGGGGGGCCCCACTTGTGGCTCCCAACAGCCCCACATCTCAACCGTTCCCCTATGGGGACCCCCAGGGCGCCCTGTTGTCCCCTGAGTGCCACCGCGAGGGCTGCAGTGGTGTCTGAGCCTCTCTGTCCCCACAATGGGGTCCCCATGGTTCCTGAGCACCCCCTCAACCCCCCCAACCTCAAATATGTCCGTCTATGGGGGGTCCTGGTGGTCCCTCAGTCCCCCATGTCCCCAGGGGTGTCCCTATATGGATGTCCCTACAGTTCCATGAGCCCCCCATACCCTAACCCTTACCCCAAACCCCCTAACCTTAACCCCATGTCCCCAGGGGTGTCCCCATAAGAGGTCCCTATAACTCCATGAGCCCCCCATGTCCCCAGAGGTGCCCTGACGGGGGGTTCCCCGCAATCCCTGTTGCCCCCCACCCCCCAAAAAGGGGGTCCTCACCCTCTGCCCCTTCCCCACAGGCCGGTCCTCGGCTGGAGGGGCTGCGGGGCCGCGCTCCGGGCTGCACGTGGGATTCGCTGCGTAACTCCGCGGGCGAAAAGATCGTGCAGCTGAGGAGCCACCCGTTGGCACCCATGGGTGCTGGCGCCTGCGCGCTGCTGCAGGAGCTGTCAGAGGAGCAGAGCTTCGCCATCAGCTACCTCGACATCGGTGAGACCCCTGCCCGCCCCCCCCCCCCCCCCCCCCCCGCCCTCCCCGCTCCCCCCCCCCAACCCCCCCCCGGGGGGGGGGGGGGGGTTGGGTGGGGGGGGGGGGGGGGGGTCTGGGGGTGACGCCGTGCCCCCCGGCTGCCCTCAGATGCGCTCAGTCTCAGCGGGCTGCACCAATGCCTGGTCGAGTTGTCCACGCAGCCGGCCACCGTCTGCCACGGCGCCGCCTCCTCCCGCGACGGCGCCCGCTCCCACGCCGCCCGCAACGCCCTGCAGTACCTCCGCATCATGGCGGGGGGTAAATGAGCCCCCCGCCCCCCCCCCCCGGCCCGGTTGGACCCCCGGTGGAGTCCCCTGGATGGAGGCGGGGATGAGCAGACGGACCCACGGACGGATGGAGCCACAAAGTGCCACGCGGACGCCCCTGACGGACACCCAGATCCACCAACACGCCGTGTGGGCGCCTGGACGGAGCCTGGGGCGGCTCTGACAGACACACGGACGGACATTCGGGCCCTGGATGGAACTCAGGGCCACGGGGGGGGGGGGCTCTGTTCTGCCCCCCCAGCCCCAGGTGGGTCCCTGGGCGCAGGCAGCCCCCAGGAATAAAGCTGGGGGGGTTTGTAACTCCCCGTGTTGGTGTGTTCTTGGGGGGCGCTTATGGGGCAGGGAGGGGACGTTTCCCCCCTTCATCTCCACCTGCCTGAGGCAAAAGCACTGCGTTTGGGGGACACCGCTTTATTGGATGAGCCGCGGACAGACGGATCCATGCAGGGGACGGACAGACACACGGACGGCTCAGCGGCGGCGGCCGAAGCGCTGCGGTGTGGCCATGGTCCAGAATGGAGCAGACGGGGGATCCCAACTGCGGGGGCTGAGCCACGAAGGGGCCCCCGGCCCACGGGGAAACCTGCAGGGAAGGGAGAGACTGACGGCCACCGGGAGGACAGATGGACAGATGGGGATGGTTGGATATGGGATGGGTGGATGGAAAGGGACGGATGGACGGATGGATGGAGAGGTGTACATAGATGGACATTGGGATGGGTGGACAGACAGGACAGACGGACAGGAATGGATGGACACAGATGGTAACAAAGCAACAGACAGCTGTGGGCAGCTGGGGACAGACACCAATGGGGACAGAGGGGGGTGGCAAAGGACGGATGGACAAAGGGATGGATGGGGACAGATGGATGGATGGATGGACAGGAGGCAGCGGGGACACCGAAAGATGGATGAAAGAGGACCGAGTCAGTGCGGAGGAGGATGGATGGATGGGCGGACAGAGGGCAGGACAGACGGACAGGTGGGACGGACAGACACGGCGCGATGACACCGATGGGGACGGACACCACGGGACACACAGACACGGGGCCACGCGCACCCTTCGGGACCCCCCGACCCCCGCATCCTCCCCACACCCGACGTCCCCCCGCCCCGCTGCGCCCCCCGCGCTGCCCCCCACCCCCCTCACCTCTGCGGCTGCGGCTCCGGGGCAGCGCCGTGCCGGGAGCGGCCCATGGAGCGGAGCAGCGCGCTCAGAGCGGACGGACCCGACGGAACGGCGGCACCGGGACCGTCCGGGAGCGGATCGGGCCGGGGGGGTTCGGGACACGCGCGGGAGGTGTTGGCGGTCCCGGCCAACAGCAGCAGCAGCGCCAACACCGACCGCGCTGCCATCGCCGCCGCCCCCCCCGACCGCCGCCCTCCGCTTCTTATAGACGGGGCCGCGGCCCCGGGAGCGGCCGGGGGGGTCCCGAGGGACGGGATGGGATGTTGGGGGGGGGGGCGGTCTCGGCTCTCCGTTAATTGAAGTCATTTCGCAGCCGCGACAGCCGCCGCGGGGACGCGATGATGGGACGAGCGGGGATTGGAGGGGGGGGGG